CCCATCTTGGACTTCGACTTCATTGCATATTGGACTCCAGTTCTGAACCTGTATCAGAACTCCATCCACCACTACTGCTTTAAAACTTAGCTCCTGATCGCCTACATCAAGCATGGCTTTCGTCTCTGCAAAAGGAAACAACATAGCTTCACTCCCAAATCCTAACTCCCCTGCCACTGTACACAGAACCCTTCTCCAATCTATCACTCCTCTATCAGCCACTAGCACCCTTCTTTTCTTCCACTCATCCTTCCCTACTCCTATCGATAACCTTTGAAGACTAGAAGCGCAAGCAACCACCACTTCAGTCGAAATGCCTTGCACTTCTACACTCCTAGAGGAACAAATCGAAACTGCCCCCTCCTGAGCTTTTTTACCCTGGTCTTTGGATTTTTTACCAGTTCTCTTCACTCCCTCTGCTCTCTTCACTTCCAAGGGTACAAGAAAAGACTGTAGCACCTTCACAAAGTCCATCCACCCTTTCCGAAGCCTCCCTTCTGGCACACAAAGCAATTGCTTTCCATTTGCTCCAAAAAACTCCACCACAGAGATAAACCATCCCTTTCTATTTCTTTTCAATTCTGTTACATAATTCTTACCTGGAACTGCCATTGAGTTTGTCCAGCCAATCACCTTACCAGAGTTGATAGCTCCATCTATGAAACCTTTCATCCAGACGATGACCTCCTTGGACACCAACACGGTCGCCCTGTTATTCTCTATGATTTTCATTACGTCCTCACCTTTGATCCTTTCCTCTTCGAACTTGAAAGTCTTGGCTTCGATCGACACCTCAGACCTTCACCTTCCTACTACTCTGAACCTTCCCTCGTCATCCATAGCTTCGATAGCTTTGCAACCTCAGGGCTCTACCATCAAATTCATTTAGCATCCACTCCCCAATCCCAAATCAGTAGTAACAATCCTGCGTCCTAATTATAGATTCAATTATAAATACAAGTTGAATATTTATCGTGATTATTTACTGAATTGTAGCCAATTCGTACCAAATTGTTGCCAATGATCTAACTTACTATTGGGGTTATTACCAATAGCTAATTAATTAGCATAATGCAACCATTCATTCATTCATTCCTTCAAACAATACACAACTTAGAGTCATCCATCACATTAATATGTAATCATTAGTTTTTTTTATCAATATATGTAATCATTAGTTTTGAAACACTATATGCTCATATCATTTTTTTGATAAATACTATATGCTCATATAATTAAATCTAAGAAACAAGAAGTTCAAGTGAAAAAAAGGGGGAAAACCTCACTGAAACCCACCTCAGAAATTTTAACTCCCCCATACACCCACAACTAAAAACTTCAAACACCCCCACATAAACACCAATACCCCCCCCCGATAGTGAGGGTAAGTGAAGCTCCACCAAAAAGAAAACATTAGTTAAATAAAGGAAGGTTGAAATCTTAAAGGAAAGTTATTGTTTTACCAATCATGTCTATTGTTGAGATGTTTGCTTATGAGAAGCACCAGCACCCTCATTATTATTACCCTGCAAGAAATAATGTATGTACCATTTTATCAAATATGGTCTTAAGAAAAGCTACTTAATTAAAATATTAAATAAATTTATGCATGAAAAAATTACCTGTGATGTAATTGGAGCTGATCCATGTAAAATAGATGACAAGTTGATGAAGCCATTTTGAGATAGTGTAACCATCATTGAAGTCATGAGCGACTCCATTTGATCCTGGTGTGCCTTCATTTGCTCCTGTTGTGCCTTAAGCTGCTCTTGTTGTGATTTAAGTTGCTCCTTCTCTGCTCTCTCCTCCTCCAATTGTCTCAGTAACTTGTCATTCTCCATTTTCAATCTGTCAACTTTTTTACCCCAAATTTTTGATGGAGTGGGTCCAAATCCAAACATCCGTGCATATCCACTATGCTCTGCACCAAGTACTTGGGAGAGAGCATCTTGATGCCCATTACTACTTTGCGAGTTATCTGCATCTATCATCTCTATTTCATCTAAACTTCTCTGCAATTTATATTAAAATGTAAGGGATGTCTATAACTTTTCATACATCAAACTATCAGTAAATGATGGTGATAACAAGACTTACAATAGCACGACAAACATCTTCATTCGGAATATCCCCATTCTTCTTCTGACGAGTGGCTCTGAAAACCTCTATTCGAGTAGGTTCTCTTTTATCAGGATGTGAATTTTTCTTAATTTTGTAACATACAAATAAAAATAACTTAGTTTACAATCCATAGAAATAGCTTTAATATATTATTCAAATTAATTATAAAGAGAAAATTACTAGTTCTTCTCGAATTTGTGCAAATGACTTTGAACCACAAACATGAACCATTGTATGCTTTGCCCGGTTGGATTTGCCTCTTCCACTTCGAGCCTACATCATTGATATAAATAAGTTATTGAAGACAAAAATTAACATTAGAGAGTAGATATTTAAAGTATATTTGAGATTATAAGATAAATACCTGAAATAAATCACTTGAAAAATACTTAACTAGCTGCTTCCATTGATCCAAATGAACATCAGGAGGACAATTTCTAATTCGCTCCTTATTAGTGTCAAATTGATCATAGTAATCGACCTTTAACTTATTCCTATATGCTCTCCACCTATCCCCAAGCTTTCGCATAACCCAATTCTTATGTTGTTCTGTAACTACAAATTTTTTCTGCAATAATTTAATGAACTGTAAAATTAATATAAATTAACTATAGATTGATGAGACAAATAGTGCATAAACAATTATCTTATATGCTAATGTTATTACCTTCACTAAATTCCATGCTTCATCCTTATGTCTCTGAGGAACTTCATGCCAATCCATATAATGAATAGGCACAAGTGCCCCATTCCTTGCTTGTATTCCTATATAGTTTACAAAATTTTCTCTGTTCTCTCCAATAGGTTGTAATCTATCATTCCACTCTAAGGCTATTCTTTGATCATCAGGTAGTGTGGTTATGTTGCGAAGGATTGTACGACCTCGTCTTCGTTTTTTGGTATTACTAGAAGCTGCATCCACATAAATAATACATGTTCTTATATCATACATGGAAAAAAAGCTATAAAAATTGTCAAACGTTATTCATGCATAAAAAATATTTACCTAATCTAGGCATTGGACCAGTAGAACTATGCGAGCTTGAAGAGATATGATCTTGAGAGTTGGAAGCTTCATTTCCAAAGGTGCCAGGTACATCAACTCTCAAATCTACTTGAGAGGACTGTACATGCTCCCTTTGTACTGATGTAGGAGGTGGCATCTCACAATTTGGTGTCCCACTCACAACTCTATCTAGGGATCTAGAGGTTGGCATTTTACTCTCTCTTGATGCATTATCTTGAGATCCTTGTAAAAATAACTTGCGTCTTGATAGTCTCCTCATTTTCAGTGCAGTTCAACAAAATAATAGTAACCTATAAGCAATCATACACTATTAGAAGAAGAATAAGAAGCATGAGTGCCACCACATATCAAGAAGAAGCACGAATAATATATGTAAGTTATCTTTCTTTTTCATTCAAACTCCTAATTGTAACAATTTCATGCTACCAACAAAACATAAGGAAGAAATATGTATTCTCTATATGTAATCTGGGGAACAAGTTATGGGAAAGCTTTCTTTTTCCTAAGCTTCTTCATTTTGGAAACCCTACTGAAAGAAGTAAGAAATTCCTCAACAGACAATTTATAAGATATGGACTTGTTATATGGGCATGTTTCTATTGAATACATGTCAATGATCACAAACGAAGCATTTGGACAAACCCAACAACTTAAGAAAAGGGAAACAAAGGTATTTATGCAACCAGATGCCCCACTATCACTTAGAATGACCTATACCTCTTTACAATTCTGTATTAAATTCATATACAAGCAAATAAAGTAGGAAACTTACGAAAAATAAAAGAAAAAAGAACCAACAATGTAGTCACCAACAAATAGAAATGTTAAGGAAAACAGTAATATATTACTATAATATGATAATTGCAATGCCTGGTAACTATTTGATATTTGATTTATCTTATAATAGATCTATGTGGGCTTATCTGTGTAATAGTATTTGACAGATTCCTTGCATTTAATGCAGTAACTGAACAGACTGGAATGGCAGAACAGGGTTCATGTGGTCAACCCCATAGAGTCCTCCAAGGTGATATTGGTTTTAAATTCAGGAGAGTTTTACATAAGCTATATAAGCTCAGGAATCACTTTCCTCCATAGCCTGAAAGCTAATGGTGTTTAGATCTGAAGTTGCAAAATTCAACAAGATTATTACTAGGTTTGGACAATAATCATAAAACAATGTATCAGCGTGGAAACTAGTAGGCCAAGGTGATACTACTTCCAAATTCAAGTTTATATAATTATATAAACTAGAGGCTATTACTTGGTGTAATGGTAAAATATAGGGATATCAAGCGTGAGAACATGGGCTTGAGTCTCAGAGTGGCCACTTTGTACAAAAAAGCCAAGACCACCTTCATAGCCTAAAGGCTGATGGTGTTCAAATATTAAGTAGCAAAATTCAGCATGATATCACTATGTCTGGACAAAAATCAGCACAAAAGGTTCAAGCATTTAAAAACCGTTTTCATCATTCCAATATGGCAACCATATGTTTCTGCTCAAAAGAAAATAAAAGAAATACAAGATTGCCCTTTATGCTATGGATGTAAATGCATCATACACCACACATTTGGAACATTGTAATATCCCAAGTCCCTCATAAAACATTCCAGATGTTGATTTATCTCATGCACTTGTTCACACAAAAAACGGCTTGTATCATTTAATTCCTCAAGAAATTAATAACTTAGCCTGTAGGGGCAACACCAAAAGACAACAACAATGATGTAAAAAACTGAGGTAACACAGAGGCCCCCTTCCAGGAGTTCGTCACAGCATCATTAAGGACATTATGGGAGTTAAATGAAATATACACTTTGCTGATAATAAGATGAAAGGCATAGCTTTACTTCAGTAGAGTAGGGGAAATATGAAACCTCAAAAGGAATGAAGAGAACACTAAAGCCTTTGGTTCGGTATCCAGTTCCAAAATAAATAAATTGCAACAAGGATCAATTATCATGATATCATATAGGACACAGCCGCCTTATACAAGCAAAAAAGGAA